TAGCAGTGATATGAAAAGCCATGTTTCTGAATGACAGAACCTAGTGATGCCATGTAGACAGAGAAGAGAAGTGGTCCAAGAACTGAGCCCTGTTTCAGAACTCAAAACTTTCTCGTTAGTCTAAAAAAAGCTTATATTGAAGGCAGTCTGCTAAAACAACAGCTTCTGGAATGTTCCACTCTATGATGTAATAGTGTGGCTAAGCACCGCCTCCGCAGAAGAAGATCGTCATCACTGTCTGTTTAGCCCCGCCCACCGATTTGAGAGGCGAATGCACAGGTCTATGCAGAAACCAAAAGATAAAGATGCTCTGAAGATAACAAGACACTGTGCAGTGCCAAGCTGTGGAAAAACAGTGTTTGCTTTGCTTCCCTTCTGATCACAACATTAGGAAAGAGTGAATGAACTTCATTATTTTTAGAGTGAACTGGAACTTCATTATTTCTAATGAAGATCCAGACCGCGTCAGTAGGAACTCGGTCCTTTGTTCACTTCATTTTACCGCAGATTCGTTTACAAACAAGGCACAATTCGATGCGGGATTTTCAGAAAGATTAAAAAAGGCGATGCTGTTCGTTTTTTTGAGGTAAAAATCTTGATAACATTATAAGTGGACCTCAGAGAACAGTACAAAATAAAAAAGCAGGCACTTAATGAGCCCTTTAAAGGAAAAGTTCACCCAAAAAGGAAAATTATATCATTTTTTTCCTCAAACTCATCATTCCTAACGATGATGTTTTTTAAGAACATAAAAGGTGAATTGTGAAGAATATTCTGGTCACTCTTTTATATATAATGAAAGAAAATGAGAACTGGGATTGTCAAGCTCCAAGATACCATGAAAGCACCATATGACGTGCTTATTTTTCCAAGTCTTCTGGAACCAATTTTGTGTGATAATCAGTCAAAATATTCACTGGTGAAGAGAGAAGTAGTGATGTCCAATTTATGAACAAATTGTTACATTTTGCCAAAAAAAAAAAAAAAAAAAGTAATTGTCAATGAATCAGTTGATCCAGTTCACAAAACCAGTCCAAATGACTCACAATCAGATGGATTCAATTCTTCAGTCAACTCACAGCCCACTGGAGGAGACGATTATCAGAAGACTTGGAATATAGTGATTTGGACCACGTTTGCGATAATTTTATGATACTTTTTCATTCTTTTTGAAGCTTTCTTATTTTATTCGTTGTAATTGCATGACAAAGTCCATTGGCGTTCTCCTTCTAGTGCCACCAACAGCTAAAATCTGCACTCATGTTTATGCTAATAACTTGGATTATCCACCTTTTTCCTGGATAATCCATGATGGATTCTGACTTCCATTTGGATGCCGTTGTGTTCTGGTCTCCACAGAAACCCCTGTTAAACCAGGATACAATATCCAATGAATGAATTAAACTGAAATTCAATATAACTAAATATAAAAGTGTGCGTGGGTTTAAGCGGTGCTGTTGTTGGCTGCCACACTAACAGCAAGAAACTTCAGCAATTTCTTAGTAGTAGTTGTAAGTAGTGTGCCTTGCATTCTGTGTCAAACGCGGACAAGAAAAAACGAACATGGTGGACAAAATCTCCCAAACTTTGCCCCGATTGGGAGCTGTATGTAGGATATGTGTGCTCATCTGTTTTCAGTGCAGCTAACCTCGGGTCGCTTCATGTCATTAATACAACATTCCTCTTTTTTACCCACTCATTAAACTATGACAGGTGAGTCACTGCAATAAGACAGTCATTGCCAGATTGTAACATGATGAAACTATGGAGCCATATTCTTTTCACAGCATTTTCATAGGTTTAATGTTACATTACGGGCTCTGAAAATATGTCAATTTGACTAGAAACACCAGAGACCGGACTGGTAAAGCATTGTTCTGGTACGAGTCGGGCAGCATTCAGCAGAAGGTGGAGAGGACTGCACCCTGTGACATCATTTCCTATCGTGAAAGTTTTCCCGCCATTTTTAATTTTCCAAAATAAACTACTTTTTCAAACTCCTCGCAGACTGTTGCTCTAATTTTCGCAGAAACTGAACCAAAACATCAGATCTTGCCAACAAAAAAATGTATGGAATTCAAGTTGATTAGTCAAACCATTCTCAATTAACTTGAGAATGAATTCAATGAAGAGCATATCTCTGAAACGCTTTAGTGTATACGTCATCTCAAGCTACATTTTCTTTTATTTTTATATATTTGTATATTGGATGGAATTAAACTTTTTTTTTTTTTTACATTTATTCTCAGGACATACATGTATGTGAAGCCATCAATTAAAGCAGACAGGAATAAGGTAGGCATAACTGACATCAACACACACACAAATACTGATTTTATTTCAATGAAGAAATGGCAAACCTTAACTATTCTTGAGAAACATTTTCTGTTCTGTTCTGTTTGCTCTTTTGAGGTGATGATCATTTATGAAATATGTCTATGAGAGATGCAGAGTCACGGAGAAGATCCTTCCACTGGCACATCTGTGATGAGGTGCATTCAAATTATATTTGCCCCTTCTCCACCAACTCTTCCATAACTGCATTACATACACCAAGAAACAAGATTGAATCATAAAAATCATAATTTAAATGTAACTAATTAATTAATGTTAACTAACATGGGCCATGCTTGTATTTGACGCCGCCTCTGATTAAGCATAACTGAGGTATGGTTTAAACACAAAGGCAAATAATAGCATAGTAAAATATCAGTAACAAACATTGAAGGGTGTGCATTAATGTAAGGCTTTATTTAAAGCAGTGATTCCTGTCTCTTAGGTCAGCGTGTTTGGGTTTGGACCTACAAAAGACAGAGCTTGGCATCATTACTTTGAGGATTTTAGCACTGACTCTAATGGAGGCCCTCATGATGGAGACTTTGAGGGCACAGTGATCTCTAAACTCCATAAGACACACAGAATTACCATGCATAAAGGATGATAATAAAGCATTAAGCTTTAAATAGAAGTGTGTTCATACGAAAATACACATTTATTTAATACTAATGCTGTATTTAGTGTAGGGCTGCACAATTAATCGAATTTCTAATCGCGATTACAATTATGGATGCCACAATTACGTAATCGTTCAAAGCAGCAATTAATCGTTCAAAGTCCACTTATGTTATTCTGCACGCTTAAGATATTTTTTTTCTTTCTACATGTTATCTTAAGGGTTTTTCCATTGTTTTAGTTTTAGTATAACATTATAATACCATTCATATTTTTACTTTTTTTTATAATTTAAAGAAGAAACCAATCCGATGTATATATGACATTTGAGGCTTAAAACTATAGAAAAGCACTAAAGGTTTTTCAGTTGAGTGTTTTCAGTTTGTTTATTTTCATATAAAAATACGGCATGCAGTTGCATCAAACAATGGTATAAACATCATTCAATGTAAATTGTGATAATCGTAATTAATAATCGCAATTACAATTTCAAGGGAATAATCGACAATTATGATGTGACGAGTGGGGGCGGGGCCGAGAGCCGTGGGAACGGAGCGAGGCCGGTGGAGTAATTGATAATGAGCGACACCTGCACCATTCACCGGTCTCGAGTCCCACGGAGGAGCTCCGGAAGGATAAAAGGAGGAGCTACGACAGAGAAAGACGAGAGAGGACCAGGCCTGGACTTTATTTTGTGTTTTGTGTGCGGCAGTCGTCCGTGAGGGGCTGCCGCTTTACTTTCATTTTGTGTTTGTTTATTTTATTAAAGTTTTGTTTAAATGTTCGCCGGTAATCGCCTCCTTCTTCCCGTGACTACGAACTTTGTTACATATGATTTTTGTCATAATCGTGCAGCCCTAATTTAGCGATTAAGAAAGTACAACTAAATTCTGTAAAGTAATTTGTAAATTCAACTGTAAATTTTATTGAAATTAAATTGTGTAACATAAGTTAGTTGTGATCTAATTAGACTGGTGAAGCAGTGATGCAAGCTTGTGTGTGTGTGTGTGTGTGTGTGTGTGAGTTCACTTGCTAAGACCAGAGTATGTAAACATATGAAATATACACAAGTAATAAAATGGCACTTTATTTAAAAACGGTCAACATCAGCACTCCTAAATGGAGACTCCATACATGAGCAATAAATGGTTAGGTTTAAGGTATATTAACTTCCACAGCTAAATGCATGTGGCTTCTTATAACAATTTTTTTTTTAGTAACTTGTAGTAAAAATTAGCAATTGTTTTTTTTAGCAATTTTCTTTTTGTTTTTGCTTTAATGGATTGACAAAAGGATGGGAACATTTTCAGAGACGTTCAATCTAATATGTTTTATTTCGAGACATGGAATGCTTTTCTTCGTTATAACTTAAATACGGCAACAGTGCACACATACTTTCAGAGACGTGTGTGAGAAACCAAAAGATGCCAGTTTATACACAAAAACATTTAGAGAAGCTGCAACTGAATTTACAGATGAAACATTCAAAGAAATCAAATCATATTAAAGATAAAATTACAAATGCATCTAATGGAAAAAGAGCCCATAATCGGCAAACCAAAAACAAAAGACTGACCAAATAAAAAGATTAGTGCTCAAAATACTCAACGACTGAAAATCAACCTTTACTACAAAATATCATACTTTTAATGTCTTGATTTCCAGAAAAACAACAACAAAAAAAACATCTTTCAGTTACTTTTACCTGATAAGCTAAAACAGTTTCAAGATTCAAGTGCGACTTCAGAAGTTTGGCTTGTGCTTCTTGACTTCCACCATCAGATGATGGAGGTTTATGAGCTCGGAGCGCACTGCCAGACTGCGGAAGGTCGGCTGGGAGAGGACCTTATGGAAACCATGATAGTACTGGATGAGCTGGGTCAGCGCTCCCTGAGAAGACAACCATTCATGGGTTTGACAGCATGTTTATGAGCTGTGAGGTCTGTAAATGTGTTATTTGGTGAGACTGTACCTGAATGATGCTGGTTCCGTTCTTGAAGTTGGTGAAGGAGCGCATGACGTCTTGACTCAGGGCCTCCACAGACTGCTTCCACGAGCTGGAGAAACCCCGCACCAGCTGCGTGATACGAGCTACACACACAGAGAGGCTCAATAACACTTCACGTCTGCGCTGCTGGGGCCATTCATCGTTTCATGAACACATTGCCATAGGATTCCAAAGCTTGGGGAGCGTAAGGTTAACACTTTTAAAAGAATTCCCTTCTGCTCACCAAGGCTTATTTGATCAACAATACAGTACAAACTGTACTATTGTGAAAAATTCTAATTCAAAATAATTGCTTTTTTTCAGGATTTGTTAGATGAGCAGAACACTGATGAACAGAAAGAGCAGCATTTAATTGAGACAGAATTCAAAATGTATTTACTGTCATAATAAATATTTTATTCATCCTAGGTTTTTTTGAAATGTCTTTCAAAGCAGCAATAATAAAAGTCTTACAGATCCCAAACTTTTGCATGGAAGTGCCAGCGATGAACCGTGACGGTTTAATAAACTGTTTCAGTAATGATGAGGAGACTGTCAATCATTCCAGCATTAAACAGCACTTCAACTAAAGCAAACGGTAACACTTTATTTCTATAGTCAACTTTAGACATTCTATTAACAGTAAGTAACTTTGCAACTACATGTCAACTAGCAGTTAGTAGAGTATTAGTAGACTGTCTGCTTAATATCTTCTAACTCTTTCTTTGTCAACTTATTCTACTAACCCTAAACCCTAACCCTAACAGTCTACTCTGAGAGTTAGTAGACATGTAGTTGCAAATTAATGAGAATTAGTTGACATGTAGTTGACATGTAGTTACAAAGTTACTTATAGTTAGTAGAATGTCTAAAGTGGACTATCAAAATAAAGTGTAACCAAGCAAACACCACAGCTTATACAAAAAAAGAAAAAACAAATCTATTTAAGATTTACACTATCACCGTTACCCTCATGTCATTCCAAATCGACAAGACTTCTGTTCATCTTAACAACACAAATGAATATATTATAATCTCTCATCATTTTTGTCCATCCACTGAATCAAAATCTTCAAGAAGTACATAAAGACATGGCAAACAGAAGCTCAACTGTGTGAGAACAAACCTCAATGCGTTTGAGCATCTGTTTGCCAGATTTGATGTGCTCTACATTAAAGCATAGAAATCTTTCGAAACTGCTGTGCCTCTTTAGAGAACTCGGATTAAACCACTCCATTCATGTGGATTTCTTCATGAAATTTGGAAGCATGAGAATTTTGATTTTCAAATGATGGACAAAAAAGATTTCGAAAGAATACGATCCAAAGATGAGATGAAAGTTCATAGGTTTTGAATGATGTGAGAAAATGAGGACACAATCTTGCGTTGAACTAGCCCGTTATCCAAAAAAACAAAAAGGAATCACAGAATAAGAGACGCACGATAAGCAGTCTGACGTAACCCTTGACAGTGAACACAGCAGCTCCAGCACTCACCTTCATCGGTTCTGAGTTTGTCAAGTTGCCCTTTCTCCATGAGGGCCTCGCTCTCCTTCACGAATGTAATCATCCCTCCGAACGGAGGAGAAAGAATCTCCTCGATAAACTCCTGTTCCAGAGCGACACAGCAGTTACTCACACAGTTACTCACTCACAGTTACTCGCGCTGTGTGAGCTGCTGCTCCTGACCTGTGTTCTGGCCAGCAGCAGCTGCTGGAAGCCCTCCACCTCTTTACTGTCGTCCGCTGCTCGCTCCTGCACACACACACACACACACACATCACGGTGCGGTCTGGACTAGAACACAGTGGTAACGGTTAGCGGCGTGTCTCGTGAGGAGCATCACCATGAGCACGCCGAGCATCATGTCGTAGTTGTTGATGAGGAAGATGAGCTGGTCTCGTCTAGAGGGAAACTCAGCCGCCATCTTCAGCACAAAGTTCTCCACCTCCACCTGAAACCAGATCACAGCAGCGGTCAGCGTCACAAAACATCTGATCTCACCACTGACAGCTCTCCTAAATAACAGAGCCGAGAGCTTTCTCTTAAAACCTGTTCACAAAGCTGCTGAGACAAACTTGTACTGAGGAAGAGAGAGAAGTCTTAAGCTCAGAGTAAAAGCGGGGTTGAGCTCGCTGCATCATGCTTGCTAATTATGCACACAGTGATTGGCTGATAGTCTCGGTCAGAGATTTATTCATAGAAATATTGTAGAGCACCATATTATGTTGCCGTATTCAAATAAAGGTTTTAAAATAAAACTGCTAATTGCCACATTCAAAGAAAGTGTCACTAATTAAACAAGTATATGTTCAGCTAACTGTCAGCCTCTTACATGTGTGCTTCTCATAATTAGTGAATATGCATACAAACAGCCTTCTAATAAACAGAGTAGAATAATCATGGCTGATAGTAAGACATGCCAATAAAAAAGAAAAACTGGACGCGAGAACAGCTGTTACTTCTTGCCCAACTGGTTAATGAAAACAAGCATATAATCAAAGGAAAATCTGGAGTTGGGATAACCTCCAAAACCAAAGGCGATACCTTTTTAAAAGCCCATTATCGTCAAATGTTTCTAAAATGTTTCTGTTACGAGGCAGATTGCCAGCAACAGCTGTTTTAGGATAGTTTGTGGCTTGGTCTTAGTGACTTAGGAGTCCTCTTCACTACTCCTAACCTTTCACAGATTTAGGAGCTAGTTTTAGTGCTAAAACGCTTTGTGAAATACTCTTAGAGCAAAAATGTAGGAGTCCTAAATTTAGGATTGACACGCCCATTATTTTTAAGATTTTCTCCTGAATCGGCGAGTTATGAGCTACTTTTAGCCTGAAGATGTTTTGTGAATACGGGCCCTGGAGGACCCGAGGCGCTTCTCTCCTCACCTGCAGCTGTCCCAGAAGAGCGATGGTCCTCTCGTTGGGGAAGGTCTGGTTTATACTGACCACAGCAGAGGAGAATTCAGCATAGCGGCGTGTGATCTACACAAACAGCATGAAAACACACCACTGTAACACTTCTTTCATTCGCTCACTGCGCAGGGACAGAACACCACACGTGAGTCTCTAAAAATAAAAGCCTTTCTTTTTAGACTGAGCATCATTTCTATGGAGGGAATTATGACCTGAACACTTCTGAATCGAACATATGAAGAAAAGTATTTCCTGTCGACATTTCAAAAATATACATATTTTGTACACTGAAGGCAATCACTATATATATATATATATATATATATATATATATATATCAATAAAGTCAGTAAAGCTCCCCCATAACAAGACTGCTTCTCCGAGGAGATGGTGTTCTTCTGCTCATCAGCTTTGCCTTTTTTGCACCAGACATACAGTACTGCTGATTCATGAGTCCAAAAAGTTCCAGCTGAGTCACATCACTCCATAAAACACTTCTACAGAGCTCCACAGGCCTGTTCAAGTCAGCCTTTATGTTCTTCTTGGTCAAGATACACTGATCAGTCACAATTCCAATTCAAGTCAGGGTGCATTATCCTACAGAAAGAGGCCACTGCCATCAGGAACACAGCTGCCTAAAATATGGTGGGTTACTCGATTCATTTGGAAGCGAGGGTTTACAGATCACAATGCAAGCGGGAGAAGCCTCATGTTTCGGTCGTCACGATCGCGGATGACAACATGCAGGATCAACACTGTTCATGCATCGCAGGGTACGATTAATTTAATGTACATTTAACCAGTTTAATATGGAGAGTAGAGCCCGACCGATATGGGTTTTTTGGGGCCGATACCGATATTACGGAGTAATAAAAGATATTCTTTGTGCATATTATAGTACAGTACCAGTCAAAAGTTTGGCAACTT